TTAAAAGATCATTACTTTGGAAAGTTGGTCATGTGGAATTGGGGTGGGGTGGGTGGGGCCCTGTTGTTGGAAATGGCATCTTTGGAGTTGCTTACGCAAGCAGATCTAATTGTGCACCTACTGAGATCTAAGCCTTCTCCTTTCATAGCCTCCACTCTTGTAAAGAGGGAGAGGAAACATAGTTTTTCCTCTCTAATGTTGTGTACACGTTATACCAGCTTTAAAACAAAGTAGCGTTGTTTCCTGCTGCATTTCAAACCACATTTGCACATCATTGCACACATCGGTACAGCTGGATGTGTTGCCAGGTGGCCTGCTGTCTGTCTCCACTAATGGATGGAGAGGGGATGTGGATGTTTTCTTATTGCTTATGTTTTTCTAATTGGATCAAAGCTGGCTTGGGGAAAAACACATCAAAATGCAATATTTCTCAAGAAACTACAGGATTGTAGCTAACACTATGTGTACACGGCTTCATATAGGGAGTGCACTGGATGCAGAGTAAAGGTGTACAACACCTAGGCTGAAATTGAGCTTAGATTTACCTGAATTCCTAATCTTTCAACACTGGAGCTCCCTACCTTTAGAAAATTCTTGTGGCAGCGCAAAGCAGCTCTCAACTTCCTTGAAGCCCAGTTAATTAAGTTTCTAAATTAAATGCTTTGCTCTCTTCAATTCTGTATTTCAGATGAGTTTGGTGCTTTGGAAAGTGTGAAGGCTGCTAGTGAACTCTATTCCCCCCTCACAGGAGAAGTAACGGAAATCAACACTGCCCTTGCTGATAATCCTGGACTTGTCAACAAATCTTGCTACCAAGATGGTAAGGGAGGCATCTTAACTTTGCAAAAGTGTTTCCGCCATCATTGAGTTGGAAGGATAACAGTGGAACTCATTTTGTATCGTCTTTTGCTTGCGGCAGTGAGGTTTTTTTGAAAGCATTTTTATCCCATTCATCGGCTGAAAAATGCTCACAAAGCATTTTATAAATATCAGTGATAAGGTAGCCCCTACTCTCAGGCTGATGGAAAAGGGACATGGAGAGAGGAGGAGCAAAGCAAACTCAGCACTATTTCTTAGGTCCAGAGTTCTTTTAATGACCATTCTGAAAAGATTGCAAGGAAAGGGAGAGCCAAGAGTTGCTGATATTTCAGCAGAGAGGCCCTGCAGTTCCATCTCCTTTTCTCCTATAGCCACGAATGGAATGGATTATATATGTATTCTCATCTTCAGCTAGTGAAAAGTTACCTGTTTCCTTTGAGACTTTTATGCTTGTTGACATGAATGGAAATTGCTGTGGTCAAGAGCCAGCATTTTACTAGAGCTCCAGGGAGTTGTGTGTGGTGCTGCTGCTTCTGCTTCTGCTTCTAATTGAGTTGCTTTTATGCTCATAGGTTGGCTTATCAAGATGACTGTGGATAACCCTTCAGAATTTGATGAACTCATGAGTGAAGATGCATATGAAAAATACATAAAATCTATTGAGGAGTGATCCAAATGTTAACAGTAAACCAATGCAGACCATTTTCTTCACTGTAGATTGTCCTAAATTAGTGGTGTACAGAAGGTTCAACTCTGAGCAGCTTATCCAGGAAATTTTCAAGGAAAATATGCTGCCTTTGATTCAAATTGTGCTGATCCATGCCCACAAGTGACTGCAAGTCAAAACATTTTCATTTGGGGTGGCGTGTCTATCTTCACTTCTAGTACATGTATTGTTTTTAGTCGAATAAATGTAATTATAGGATGTCAAGAGTTTGAAGTTCATAATTACATCTGGAGTAGAATAACCTTTGTTCCTAAAATAAACCTAAGCATTGATAAAGTAGAACTGTAACAGCCTTAATTTCACAGCACAAATTGTGCTTCTCAGCTCCACGGGTTTTATTCCCTCCCCAAGACAGCAGTCTGCTTTCAATCACGTTTTGTAATATTAAGGCTGCGTTGCTGCCTTCAGAATTAGTGAAGGTTCCAGGTGACTAGAGCAGAACCAGATTTCACCTTTTTAAGTGAAACTGTGGAGGTGTGGCCATCCTCTGCAGATAAGGCTCCCTGCTTTGCCTTGGAACAGATAACAGAAGTTAATAAAAAATCCTGACTTTACCAAGTGTGTTTGCTGTTCTTTTTGTGTGTGTTCTACAGTAGCCTCTCTGGGGTTAATATTTAAATGATGAGCTTTCAGGTGGCATTTTGGAATGTGCAGAATCAATCTTCAGTGTAGTGCATTTGGCTGATTGGAGTCTCTGCCCTACAAATTCTAAGCAATGTTTTGAAACTGTCAAATGAGCTGGGTTAGGTTATCTGGGGAACTGAAAACGTCAGTGTGCAGCCTGTGGTGGAGTTAAATGGCAGTCAAAGATAAGTCTAATAATCCGTAGTAGAGTGGTACCTCAGGTTAAATACTTAATTCGTTCCGGATGTCCGTACTTAACCTGAAACTGTTCTTAACCTGAAGCACAACTTTAGCTAATGGGGCCTCCCGCTGCCGCCCCGCTGCCGGAGCACGATTTCTATTCTCATCCTGAAGCAAAGTTCTTAACCTGAGGTAATATTTCTGGGTTAGCGGAGTCTGTAACCTGAAGCGTCTGTAACCTGAAGTGTATATAACCCGAGGTACCATTGTAGTTACGTTTTTAATAACTGCTGTTGAAAGCATTCTCCTTGACAAAGATGCAGTGAAGATAAGGGTCAGGCAGTCAATCCATAATGAATAGTACTCCAACTGCTTGGGGTATCAGCTGTGTTAATGGCACTGATAAAGCAGCATGTGGTCTGAGGCATGTGCCTGGGGATCCTTCAGACGGTGCCTACCCACCTCTGACAATGCGAGGGATTTTTGGATAGGGCTCTTGAATTTCTTGGGCAGCAGACTTACTTGGCTTAGCACCAGCCCAGGGTAAAGAACACAACAAGAAAAACTGCTTTCTGAAGTCTGGGAACAGATGAAACAGTTTTTCATTTCCCTCAGTGTATTCTTATTTATGATTTTATTTACTTACTGTATTTATATCTCACCTTTTTCTCAAGATGGTATGCATGGTTCTTCCCCTCCACATTTAATCCCCAGAACAACCTTCGGAAGTAGGTTAGGCTGAGAGGCAGTGACTGGCCCGAGGTCGCCCAGTGAGCTTCATGGCCAAGTGGGGATTTGAACCCAGGTCTCTCAGTTCCCAATCTGACACTCTTAACTACTATACCACACTTGCTCATCTTTTCTTGGCACATCAATATTACTTTCCTTGACACATCAGCTCTGCAGATGGGAAAGTGGGGTTGACGCATGGATTTTTGTTCTTCCTCAGTGACATTAAGAAAAAGGCAAGAATGGGTGGACTCCTGTGTTATCAACCCCCTCCCCTTAAAGGCATCCACTTGGTGGCCATCACTACTACTTGTAGCCAGTTCCAGAGTTTTAACTATGTGCTGTGTGAAGAAGCACTTCCTTTGGTCTGTCCTGCATCTTCATTAGTATTATGGGAAAGAATCACATTCTCCATGCCATGCCTAATTCTCTACCCCTCTATCATGTCCTTCCTTACTTGCCATTTTTCTAAACTAAAAAGCCTCCAGTGTTGTAACATTTCCTCAAAAGGGGAGTTGCTCCAACCTCTGGAATCATTTTCACTGTTGTTTTCTGAACCTTTTCCAGGTCTACAGCAGCCTTTTTCAGGTATGGGGACCGGGGCTCCGCCCAGTGTGACTGCACCACAGACAGATTAGTATAATTGCATTATGATACAGCAGAGCTTTCCAAACTTCATGCTGGTGACACTTTTAGACATGCATCATTTCATGACACAGTAATTCAGTTTTACTAGCAAACAGGAGGTTAAACTGTGAATCGTCCTGAGACCCCTGGGTATAGGGCGGTATATAAATTCTAAACCCCACCCCCCAAAAACCTAACCCCTTTCCAGCTCCAGGAGGAGCGTGGGGAGCACTCACGTGACACACATACACACTGCAGCTGACACACTTAATGTGCTGCCACACAGTTTGGAAAGCTCTGTGATACGGGGTATGGGATTTTATTTTCAGTTCCTTTCAGTAATGGTCCCTAATGTTGCCTTTTTCACTGCTGTCACACACTAGGTTGATGTCTTCATTAAGTTTATGCTCAAAGAACAATAAGAGCAAAAACTCCCACAGAGGCTTTGAAGTAATTAAACCCATTGCAGACAAATTCAAAAATGCCCAAGAAGAATTAGTGAGTGGGACAGGAATGGGATAGGCACTCCTAGAGCAATTTTTGGTAAATCCCAACTCCCCCCCCATACATTAATAAATGGGATGTCCCAACCATTTTTCCAGGTCTCCCTTAAACCTGGCTCCAGCTCTCACAGAATGTTTGAAGTGATGTCTAAACATACCTCTTGCGAGAGGCTGTGATGATAATTCCTGTCAGCGACTTTGAGCGGGTCATTCACTCGCTGCAAATGTCGTAAGGGATAGGAATGTTGGCAGAAAGGCAGGCAGGTTGCCCCATCAATTTCAGGCTTCCCTGAGGCCCACAGGAGGCTGCACTTGAGAGAGAGGGTTTAGGGAATGTTTCATCTCCACCCTGCAGGATGAAATGTGGAGGGCCACAGGTTAGCTACCTCTGGCCTATTTCTTGTTCAGATGTGTGAGCCCTTTTCTGATGTTCTGTGAAATGGACACAGGAGGGGTGCCCTGGATGTGCATTCATTAGAATGTCCTAACGGGGATCCCTGCTATACACACACTGGGCTCTATCCTTGCAGTTGGGAACCTGCCAGTTTAACATGTGGGAGCACTGGTTTTAGATACTGTATTAATCTGATAATTTGTCAAAATTTGCCCATCTATGATAGAGGACCTTGTTTTTTTGTTTTTTTTTATTATAGGATTTTTATTGTTGATATGCATATAGTACTGACTTGTGAACTATGTATATGCCATAGCATTACCATGTTAGCACAATTTAAATAAAAGCCTATTGCCATTCAGTGATCTAAAAGCTATCGAGAACAAGCAGTGAACTATTTTTAAGCCTAGTTCTCACAGGTGAGTTCTTTGGCCAATTTATATTTCACAACATTTTTGCTTGAGTTCAAGGGAATACATTTGAAAAAAAGAAGAAGACAGCTATCTTCCAAGACTAGAGAAATCTGGCCCTCCTTTGCTGTAGTTTCCAGAAATTTCTGCTCCACTGAAGTCAAATCCAGGGTTCTCTCTTTGGAACCTTTCTAGCGTCAGCTTCCTCTGCATCTGGTCCTGGACCCAAGGATCAGCAGCATACTCGTTCTCAAGCAAAGAACTCCAACAATTCCCAGCATCACGGTTGGTTTTCGTCAAGACGATTCGTATCAGTTTCTGGTCCTCTAGTGTCCATGTTGCTTCATCCGCTATTGTAGAATCAAAGAGTTTACCCTTGAGCACTTCCTCGCCGGCCACGGAGAGAGACAGGTGGCGGCTCTTGAGGCTGCACTCGACGCTCTTGGCGCGGGTCCCCTGCGGCACGTCCACCTCGATGAACACCTCTTCCATGGTCTGGTACCAGCGGCCCCAGGGGGTGGCGCACGGCACCAGCCCGCTGCGCTCTTCGAACGGCGCCGACATCCACTCAGCGGGCGCCTCGCCTCATTCCCCCCACCACGACCCCAGCCGATAGAGGACCTTGTGTAAGCACATCGGTTCAGTGCAGGGATAGGGGAACCTGTGGCCTTCCAGATGTTTTTAGTCTCCAACTCCCATCAGCATAAATAAAAATAGTGCACTGAAAAGGATATGTGATCAAGTAGGTGAACATTATGGTCTGCAGCCTAAAACCTTGAAAGACACACTGAGGTTTGCTTAACACATTCCAGTGCTTTGACCCTTTGCTTCCATTGCCCTTTGAAATATTTGTGACGGCAAGCACAGGAAGTCAAGGTCAGAGTGTCCCACTAGCATCTGCCAGCACATGGCACCAAGTACCAGAAACTGGGCACAAGACCCCCTGCAACTAGTCACCCATGAGACAATTCTACTCCATACATTAAAAGTCAAGGTTCCGAGACATTTGGATTGCATTTTTGGAACTCTTCACTGAGTAACAGCCACAAATTAGAAGCAGTGGGAGGCACAAGGCAGGGAAAAAACTTCCCCAACTTAATGGATGCTAATCTAGGACTACAGCAGAACATTAATACTTACTTATCCTAATCCTTATCTGAATGTACGTAACTGAACATTATAATAGTATGCTAAACAAATGAATAACAGAGATGAAAATACTGCAGCTTAAAAAAAGAAAAAGTGTGAGGTTGGAGGATGATAATGTGAAAACCCTAATAAACCATGGATTTTTATAAAGTGCATGCTGCACTCCCTCCAGTAGAGGGAGATGGTGCTTTGCCAAGCAACAGGTTTGTGCGCAGAAGCACATGAGCAGACAAGTGTGCTTTCCTAAGGAACATAAACCAGAATACAACATGGTTAATATGTATACGTAGGTCTGTTGATCTTACTGTGTTTTAATAGTGGATAGTAGCATAAGGCTATATTACGATGATACTGTTTGACAGATTTGAGTCCCTGGCATCTCCAGGTGGTGCTTGGAGATACTCCTGCCTAAAACTCTGGAAGATCAGCTGCAGGTCAGTGTAGACAATACTGAGCTAGCTTGACCAATGCTCTGGCTCTGTATAAGAGAGTTTCCTATGTACCCCCACCCAGCAGTATGCTGTGGCCTAGTACACAGTCTGAACAAACACAAGGCACTTCCTTTGAAGAAGGACGCATCTTTCCTTTGATAACCTTAATTTTCAATCAGTCGGCTGCAAAACACTTGGTGCAGCCTGCTGGGAAAATAACAGGCACAACCGACAAGCTGTTATTTCCAAGCTGCTTCCTAGGGAGAGCATTCAAGAACAGCCATTGTGTGTGCTTGTGCCTTTCTTTTTAACACAGGCAACAGCTTAAAGAAAGAAAAATCCAATCCAGGTATCCAGCACTCCACTGCAGTCAAGAAAGGAGGGTGAAGGAGCAAATGGGTAGGGTGACCGTGTGTCAGAGGACAGTCTTCTACAAAAAGGCATTCTCTGTTTAAAGGATTGTCCAGTCCAAGTCTGGTTTAAAGTGAAGGAAACCTAAGAAAGGAGAGCAGGAGGGGCCTTTAAGTTGCCCATCAACTATTAGCACACTGAGCTGGCATGCCGGGCAGTGTGTTCTCCCAAAAGAGGCCTATCTAGTTCAGCTCTCACAGTGGCCAACCAGATGCCCAAGGGAAGCCTGCAAACAGGACCAGACTGCAACTCCCAGCCAGTGGTAGATAGAGGCATGCCATGGAGGTTCAACATAGCCATCATGACTACTAGCCATTGAAAGCCTTGCCCTCTGAATTTGTCATAATCCTCTTTAGGAGCAAAGAGTTTTAACTATGCAGCATGCGGGAAAAGCCATTTTACAGTACTGTCCCGAATCTTCCACAATGAGCTTTATTGAATGGCTCCAAATTCTAGTATTTTGACAGAATGAGGAAAAAATTGCCAATCTATTATAAATCATCCAGCCATCTACCAGCAGACTCTGTCGTCTGCCCACGCTAAGCTTGGATGGTGTATTTAGCAACAGATTCATATGATGGAGTCATCTAGCTGTGCTGATGTCCTTATTCTGAGCAGCTAAAGTAGCAACCCAACGATCAAGGAACTTCATGCTGTGTGTTTCGATCTGGGAGTCCATTTGCTGCTGTGTTGTGTTAGCTTGCTTGCCGTATTGGAATAATGAATCTTGGAAAACTTGCTTTGTAGGGGGTAGAACATAATCAATTACATATCATTTGCAAGCAACAAAGACAGCAAACACCGATTGCCTTCACAGGATAGATTTTTGTTATGGACATGGGACGACTAAGCAAACTGGCAATTTTCACTCCTGTTTCTGCTGGCACTCTCTGCTGTCCCTATGCCCTCCTCTGTTGCACCTAAGGAAAAATAAAAGTAGACCTGGCAAGCCAGAAGCCTGTCCATGCCCAAGTTGCATCATAGATTAGGGATGGGCATCCTGTCAACACAAAGGACCATATATTTGTCCATTTTTGTTTGCTTATTAATCACTTTTGATGAGGCACCCCAAAGCAACTTACAATATAATAAAAACACATGCAAAAACAGTTACGTATAAAAAAATCAAAACAACTGCATGCATACATACATATATATGGATGTGTATATCTATTTTTGTGTGTGCCTGGTTAAAACAACAGCACACACATAAAATCATTTCAGATCCAATGCAGACACCAACTAGAATAAAGCTCTCCATTTAGAAGGCTTGTTAAAAGAGGAAAGTCTTTAGCAGGCACTGAAAAGACAATTGAGAAAGTGCCTGTTTGATATATAATGGGAGGCAGTTCCAAAGGATAAGAAATATCCCACTAGAGGCCCAATTCCAACATCCTGGGGAACAGACCTAGGATTAGTTGGGTTTGTAGGAGGTGAGACTATATGCTCTTTCTTCCTGTTTGTTTTTTAGCTGATAAATAAAATGCTAGCTGAATTCATTTTTAACCTGATGTGGCTGCTATTTTTTATTCTGCTTCTACCCTTTCGCTATTTTTGTTAGGCTTATTGATTCGCTGCTTAAACTGCTTTTTGAGTGATTGTTGTAACTCTTTACTCCTAGGAGTATTTTTCTACTGAAGGTGGGGTACAAATTTTTATAAGTGACCCATCTGTTTTTGCTGCCTGCTTGCCTGTGTCAGCAAAATGGATGTGGGTTTGCAAGCCCCACATCTGGCCGCAATAAACTAACGGGGGAGAGGGGAGGGGGTGAGTTCAGCTTGGTGAAGTCACAAGTTGTGCAAAACCTGTGGCTCTTCACATGCTGTTGGACTCCAGCTCCCATCAGTCTCAGCCAGTATGGCCAATGGGATGGGACCTGTAGTCCAGCAGGTGTCTGTAGGGCATATATAAAGGTCTGTTGTGGAACAAGTGCTTTGTTACTCCATTGGGAAATGAAAGGTGGTATATACATTCCAGGAAAGAAGTTGCAAAATCGTGTCAAGTAGCAAAGCATTGTTCCAGGGGCAAATGATAGGGCCGTGTATACAGACCCACCTACCTAATCTCTCCTGCAGGATACTGTTCTGCAAACACAGTCCATGTGGGCGGAGGATTTGAAAAGCAGCAGGAATCAACCCTGCTGGGATCTGTGTCTCCAGGGCACGCTAGGGATGCTTGGCTGCCACGTGTCCAACTTCTCAGCCCAACAGCCACAGATCACTCTGGGCAGCCTGATCCTCCTTCTTCTTCTCTGGCAATCAATCGTAGCCGAGTAAGATCGTCTTCCATGAACACGGTCTTAGCAGTGAGTCCATAAGTGACTGTAGAGGCCAATTATGGATCCACACGTCCTTCCACAGTGGGGACATAGGTTTCTGGGTGGGAGTTGATCACGGTGAGAGTTTGCCAAATGTGCCTTCCTCTTAGCACTTTCGCCCTGAGTTTGAGCGTCTTTAAAGCCCATGACACCTTTGGTAAAGGCTGTTCTCCAACTGGAGCACTTGCAGGCTTGCAGAGTTGTCTCCACCTAACTCAGTCAAAGCCTGGATCCCCTCAGGTTGGCCTGATTCTGTTTGAGCTTCGGCCAAATCCAGTGCATATCCTTAGAAAACAGGTGAAACAAAAATGCTGTTTTCTGCACGTGGTACCCAGGCTGTCTTACCTCTGCAAATCTTGCTGTGTGTGGAGATGGCCAAAAGTACTTGAGTCCCACTCGAGATGAACAGGGGATGCAGAGCGACTGATGCTGAGTGGATTGCCCTGCCCCCCCCACCAGCACTCAACTTGTTAGCAGGGTCATTGAGAGTATCAACGCAGCAGCCTCCCTGTGTCAAATTAAATTAGCAGCAAGCCAATTACCGCAACAGCTTTGTCGGCTAAGCTGACGGTGGCTGGCGCATCTCAATGTCTTCATCACAGAATGAGTGACAAATCTGGCTGCCTCTTTGCCTGGTGCCTCTGCCGTCAACTGATAGAGGATAAAAGATTCTCTTTCACTTTCCATCCCTTGGGAGACATGGGATTTACAATGGTCTCAGATTGCTATCTCTACCGCGAGATGACAGCAGAGTAATCAAACCTGACATTTAAAGGACACGAAGAGACTGCGTACCGCTGGGGCAGGTGGAGAAAGGCAGGTCATTGCTCTGACAGCCCTTGGAAGGTGGAAACGTGAGATCTCCCCTTTGCTGAACGGGTGGCCGGAGCCTGGGAGCCAAAGGCAGGCAAAGTTGAGTCAGATCTCCTACCCACTTTTCACACTGCACACCAAGGGTTCACCTGAGCACGCTGAGCCTTCCCAGCTGCCCAGCTCTGGTTCCGGTTCTGTTGAGACTCATTGCCTCAGTTTGCAATAAGGAGGAACAATATAAATAGCATTCCAGTCAATATAATAATCAGCACACCCATATCAACAAAATATTGAAGGCATAATGTAACATGTTAATAGAAAATGCAGAAACCATTCAAAAACAGTTCAGTAACCCAAAATATAATAACAATAACTTTAAAATGATAAACATAACATTTTTTTTTACCTACCATGTCTAGTAACAACTGTCATTATAGTAAAGCTTTAGTTTTGGGGTGTCCTCCAGGGCTTCACACAAGACAC